GCGCTGCCGCGCCAACGGCGCGGAGGAGCGGATGGCAGCCTCCTGCGAGAGGGGATTGGAAAACTTAAAGCCCTAGAAAAGAGAGGGAGAGAAGAGGAAGAACGTCCCCCAATGCATGAGCTTTTCCAGGGCCTGATACAGTTTATTTTATTTTAATAAAGCGTAAAAAAATGTTGTGCTCCGTCCAGTTCAGGGAAGGCTAAAGTGCAGGCGCTGAAGTCCAGGCCCAGGCAGCTCCTATTCGCAGCCCTGCGCGCTGCCAGCTGGTGCCCGGCGGAGTTCCGTTCCACCTTAACCTTCACGGGTGCCATTGTGCGTGTGCAGTCATGTGCACATGCACTTGATGCATGGAGCGACTCCGTCTGCCTGGCACGTCACTTTGTCATTTACCCGGTTGAATAAGTGCTCACCAGAGTTCAAAATTGTGTGAGCAAAGCAAGCTCGAAAAGCTCTGCTTAAGGAAAGGAGGGGGAAAATGGTCTATGCGTTTAAGAGATGTTTTTGAGTAGCCATTTAGTGCTCTCTCAGGCTAAAGTTTTCAGTAGACCTGGCTACTCCGTAGTGATGACTATAGCCATCTAGCAAGTTATTTCTGCCTTGCTACCTATTACTGTATAACTCGACAGTGGGTTGTGCAACATATCTATAAAGACTCTGGTTCTTAGGCAGATGGTTACCATCTCGGACTTTAAACCTCCCTTTCATTGCTGCTATAACTCATAAATCATTCTAGTCCCACCCCTGAGAACGTAAGACTTATTGTTGGCATTTGTTGGTGCAACTAAGTAGGATGCGTGTCTGAGAGAAAACTTTGAGTTAGAGAATACTAGAACAGGTCTTTTCTCTAAATTATTTTGTATTGTCCTGCTGCTAGTGGCTTCTGCGGCAATTTTAATGTCTTGGATACTTATTTTTCGGTGTCAAAATAGTGAAAATGCTCAGTCAGAAGATCTGAGTTTTGTCAATTATTTGCAAATTTCACGTTTTTTTTCGTAGTACTTTTAATCAGCGCTCCTTATCAACCCAACAGCAATGCAAAATGTGTAATATATGCAAACGTATTGGCCAGTTCTTCCATTTCCTTCAACAGTTTTTCAAAGGCCGTGTAGCTTAAATAGAACTTTATATTATTTTTTGAAAGCTGAGAGATCGGGCTAGTGCTACAGTAGTGCTTTACTGTAATCTGAACTTTTTCCACACTGAAAGTGCTTTTCTCCCCCTACAACTTCTATTCTACTGAATAGATTTATGTGGGCTTGTTGCCAGATTTTACTTTTCTTTTGTAGGTAGGTGTGGTTGATGATTCTTTATTAATTACTATGAAAAACAGTGCAATTCATATAGTGAGAAATAGCACATAAGCAACTTTTTATTTGTGTTCTAGGCTTGTAAGTTATACAACTGCTATGAAGATACCTTTAAATAATTACAGAAAGGTTAAGGCTGGAAGCAACCTCTGGAGATCGTCTGCTCCGACCCTTGTGCTCAAGCAGGGCCTCCTAGAGCAGTTTGCCCAGGACTTTGTCTAGATGGGATTTTTTTTTAATATTCTTGGTTTAAAAGCTGTGAAATCATCTATGCAATATCTCCACAGAGATACTAAAATACTTCTCTGATACAAGTTACCCATGTCACCACTGATTTTTTTTTTTTTCTTAACATGTAGAGGCCTGATCTTTTAGAATTTATGAAATTAAGAGTCAGCTCTTAGAAGCTGTTCATGAGCCTAGGTAAAGTGTAAGTCTACAGTAACACTCTGTCCCAAGGAGTTAATGAATTAGGAAAATGGTAAGAGGTGCAGGTGGCTACAATGAAGAGATAATAATTGGTGGAATAGAAGGCTGCAGGAGAAGAATGACCTGATTAGAGAGATGGCCCAGGAAGATTAACCCAGCTGTAGCATTCTGAATATATAAGAAGTCACTTGAGTGTTTGTTTTTGTCAGTGGACAAGGAAGTTGCTGGTGCAGGGTGAGAAGTGCAGGAATCAAACAGTAAGACTGAGTGTTTTGTGAGAAGAAATAGCAGAATTTAGATGCGGCCCTCCAGTTCCTGAGAGGGAGTGGAAGATATGCCTGTCAGCTAGTGTATCAGGAGAAAAGTGTGGTGTTGTTACTGGTCACTTTCTCAATCAGGAGAAAACGTGATGATGGTTTTGTTCATTGCTCTGTAGGGTTGACGTGCTCAAACGTTTACTATTTTTCATGAGACACTGCTCATACAGTACCTTAGCTAGCACTAGGGATTGATTCTGTATACCAGAACTGAAGCTGACTTATATGTTGTATTTTTCCTGATGGGGAAGGAGAAAAATGTGTGTTTGGCTTAGTTTTACATGTATCACCTTGCCTTGAGTCTGTGTAAAGTATTGGTGAGCCAGGCAGTTTTGACTGCAACCCTTTTGTTTCCTTCAAGGCAGACGACTTCTGTGTTTTGAAATTCGCTGTGAATAAATTGGTTTATTGACTGGTATTACTGTCAAACAGCCTTGTCCTGCATGTAGCTTTGTGACCTTTAGGTGTTTTGAGTGTCCTTTTCCAGAGGATACAGGTAATAGAAAACCACCTGTATGTGGAATCTTGCTGGCTTTAGAAAGCCTAAAGGCACACAGGGAATGTGAATCATGCATTAAGTTTGGAATATAATGCAAACCTAGAAAGAAAGAGCCTTTCTTTAGGTATGCAAATTGGTCCTCAGACTTCACATTGCAGTAATATTAGCCTTTAGGTCAGATGTAAATTGTCTTCTTAAACATTAAGCTTATCCAAATGTGGACTAATGCAATGGGACCTCTCACGGCAAGTAAGATCAACGAGGGTCTCGATGTCACTGGATATAAATTGGACTCCTCATATGAGAATTACTGGGTTGAGTTTTTTGCTTTATTTTACTGTAATTATCCAAGAGCAGGCATGGTAATGTGACACCGGCTTAAGTAAAGGTACTATTAGTGGGGGAGGAAAGAATAGCAAGCAAGCTCTATCAGTTAAGAGCTGGAGCAAAGAGGAACAGAAGTGTAGCAGATTTTTTAAGTGGGATCCTGAAATCAGTGGTTTGGACAACAGAACATAGGTTATAATCATCTCAGTGTGGTGGTTTCATCTGTGACAGCATGTGCTATATTAATGAGTGGCCAAAAAGATTTCTGAAAACATTTATTCAACAGTACAGTGATTATCAGGTAAGGCAGATGCGATATTATTGTAATAGAATTACTGCTGAGGGGAATTCTACCATACAGAACATATCAGTATTTACCACCTTGTCCAATTGTTGTAATACTAATTTTAGAGAGTCTTGTTATAAGTTTTCACATTGTGAGGTAATACCGTGTTGCAGAAATGTGTTTATCTTTTAAAAAGTCTTTCCCTGCTGACGTCTCTGCTCTGTGGCTTAAGATTATGTGAAAGCCTTGTGTGTTTAACACTTGCAGCTATTTTGCCAGAGATTTACAATTTTGTGCTTCGTTTTTCAGGTTAATCTACTAATTGACAATGAAGCAGAGAAGGATTACCTTTATGATGTGCTGCGGATGTACCACCAGTAAGATCTAGCTTTACATACGTTTGTGTAGAATTTTACTAGTGTTTTTAAATGTAAAGAGTTAAATGCTAGATTTAAGATTTTAAGTGGTCTTCCTATATGCTACTAGAAAAATGGTTGAAGTAATAGTTTTTTCTCCTGTTTAATGAAGTCTTACACTTTTACAGTGTAGCCTGCAGGAAAGAAAGGTGCATGTCTGTAATCATGTTTGAAGTTACTTTGTTTTTCTGACTTGGTAGTTTTGCAAAAAAATTTGGCGGATTCGTATTGGGAGGGAAAAAGAGCACCTGGATGACAAAACTGTTCTGAGGAAACAGAAAGAGAGCAGTAATCAAATTCATTAATATTTCCAAATAATGCTTATTTATTTGCAACAGGGATTTTCATTGAGTTTGCTTTTCAAAGATTTTTGCTACCTATTCAGATAAAAACTTATTTGCAACTTTTTTTATTTGAGAGCTGAAAAAGTTTAGTCTGGGAATCTGTTTGGCATGTTTAACAACTGTGGCTTATTATGACATAATAGGGGAAAAAAATGGTAAGGTGATAGGCCTATTACCAGTCTCTTGCTGATCTGATTTAAACCACAGTTGCTTAGGACCTGTATCATTGCAAATGAGATCAGCCTCTGATCATTGTTTTTTCAAAGAAGATGAGAATGTATTTTCCACTCATCATAGACAAGTGGCTCTGATAGACATTGTTTCCGTTCATATCTTAAGTGACAGCATCTCAGCTGAATGAAACATAGACGTTTCTGTCTGATGTTTGCGCAGAGCTGTAGTTATGGGGGTATTTAGCTGCATGTCTGATTCAGTTTCACTCAGGTCTGGCTAATTGCTTCTCCATTCATAAAGCCTGTTGTTTGGAAAGCCGATTGATTCAGTAGCTCTTAATTATTTAAAATCTTCTTGCAGTTACAAAATTAACAATGCATATAGTAATTTCTCTTTAATTTCCAGAATTGCAATGACTTGAGCAAAATTTCCAATATCTCTGCGAGCATATGTTGATGATGTATCACTTTTTGGAATATGTTATGTAGTATTCCAGGGCAAAAATATGTGCAATTGCTGTTGAAGTTAACATTTAATGTCTTTTTCACTGACAATTGTTTCCAAAAGTATTTACCTCTAATCCCAAGTAATACACGTTCCTGATCTGTATCTTCATTGTGTATGCCTCAGAAATACTGTATGCCAGGAAATGTGAATTATAAGAGAAGGAACAGCAAATAATATAGACTAAGTTTAACTGGATGTTGTGTAGGAATAGCTGCATCAAACCTTAGGGAGCTATTTCTCCACTCTTGCATCTGGGCAAGGAAGTACATTTTCTAGACCTACTACTATCTCAGTGCTGACAATATCAAGGAGACTACTTTGCATAGCTCTCATAAAACAGATGTTCACAGCAGTTTAACTTCTGTAGATATTGTTTATTGGTTGATAGCCCTTCAATTTTGATTTGAAAAAAAATTCAAAACTTAAGCGAAGTCTTTGCTCTAGCTACTGAGTAATGTGGGGTTTTTTTTGTTTGTTTGTTTGTTTTCCTGGATCAAAACAGTTTGTCAGTCTCCTGAGTTCAGGAGAGGAAGGAGCATGTAGCCTCGATTCATGTAGAAGGATTCCTAACTAGTTAGGAAACAGGAATCTAGTAGGCAGGTATATCTGATCTGGAAAGTTATTTCCAAATGGTTGCATAACTCTTTTGGGGACTCCGAGAATGAAATGTTATCTGTGAAAATAACGTGTGTGACCTTAAAAGAGAGAGGCAATACATAGGAGATTTTGGTTATTTTGAAGTAGGCAGTTGTTATTCCTCTTTGCTTACGAAAGACTTGCTTTCTCAGAGGCTACTTGGCTTTGGTTAAACCAATTTCTGCATAAATAAATTTTTTAGCAGGTTGAAGGGATGTGTAAATGTTGAAGCCACATGTACAGCAAGTTATTAAATGATACTTCGTGTTGGTGTGTTGATTACCTGTGCTTGTTTTCTCACTGTGTTTTCGTAGATCTATGAATCTCCCAGTGCTTGTGGGGGACCTAAAACTCGTGATTAATGAACCAAGCAGATTGCCTCTATTTGATGCTATCCGCCCGCTTATCCCGTTAAAACACCAGGTGGAATATGATCAGCTTACACCCAAAAGATCACGGTAAGAGAGTGCAGAACTACACAGCTGACTTAAATGCAAGCAGGAAATACTGAGTGAGTTTTCAGATAAATTCCAAATAAAATATTGGTCACCTGTATAGAGCTGGACACAATTGTTTTACTTTTGCCATATTTGCTAGAAGTACAGTTTTGAGCTATCTTAAACTGTTTGCCAAGCAGTTTAATGTAGCAAAAGTGGGGTAAGGGAGTAAAAAACAATGCTTTCCAGTTGAAACAATCTTTTTTCATTTTTCCTGCGTTCAATGATAGAAAAAGTATTATAGCTCCAACCTTCTAGAAGCAGACAGCTTCAATGGTTGCACGTCTTTTCTTATGAAAAATACTTGATTGCTTTACCTAACACTCATCCATCCGAGCTTCAGTCAACTTAAAGTCAAAAGTTTTCAGTTGAAGTCAAAACTTCAGTCAAAGTTTTTTTCCATGCCAAGATGTTGTAAGAGAAAAATAATGTGTAACTTTCATGTGAAACATTATTGCCAGTCAGGTGTCTTCCATTTTTGTAGGAAGCTGAAAGAGGTGAGATTGGATCGTTTGCATCCTGAAGGACTTGGAATAAGTGTGAGAGGTGGAGTGGAATTTAGCTGTGGCCTCTTCATCTCCCAGTTAGTTAAAGGAGGACAGGCAGATAACGTTGGACTCCAGGTAAGAAAATCACAGTCTTGGCTGCTGTGCTGCAAGAAGCCTTTTGCTACAATGTTGAGGAAGCAGGCAGTAAGAATTGTTCTTCAGTATTTAGAAATAGCTATTGCTAAGGTGCTGCTTGTTTCTTGTAATAAAATAAATAAGATGTGTAAGCCAATGTGATAGTAAATACCATTATACCAGTGGTGAATCAAGTTATTAAAATTGACGTTCTTTTCACTATTTTTAATGATCTGTAAATATATTTTTTTTAATTCGGGATACAATAATTTTTGAAGATAAAAGGGCTTTCTCGAATGTGTATACTTGATGAGTAGCAGCAGTTCTGTGTAAGCAGATGGAAAGAAAGATCTCTAACTACACTGTGGAAGAGTGGTTTGAGTTGCCAAATTCTGGTTAAATGTAGAACAGAGAGTAGAAACACTAAAAATGTTAATTCCAACTTGCATAGATACAGTTTGTGTAATGAAGTGTTTATTTGAATTTCCTGTATAAATTGTGGGGGTTTTGGCTTATGCAACGGAAGTACATAAAAGAAAGAACCTATTTTTAACCATTTCCAGTACTCTTTGTATAGCGCAGAGTTGTGCTTTCAGTGAATAAATTTTAGATACTGAACTGTAACAAGGTTGGCAAATACAATTATGTATAGAAACACATTTTTTCTAAATTAGTCCTTACGCAGTTTGCATTAATGAAGTTTTGGGTGTTTGGGTTTTTTTTAATGTCATTTCTTGCTCGTATATGTCAGTGAAGAGAGAAGTGAGCAATTGCTATGGCAAATATCTGCATCTTTCTATGCTTTTAAAGCTGGTAAGGTGTAGTAAAGGTCTGTGTTTGAGTAGGAAGGCTGATATGCCTGGCTAATTTTAATTTGTCGAGTGTGAATAGTTGCTGGAAGTATTGATGTTCAAGGATTATATTTAATACTAGTCTAAAATGTATTAGACTGGCATGATTCATTACAATGTTGAATTAAACTAACGTCTTTTGTAGATATGCTTCAACGTAGTCTATGACTCTCAGACTAAGAAAAAAATAAAATCTGTCAACAAGGCAGTCAAAGTTAGGGTTCCATGTTTGTATAATTCATGCTGAGAGCTTTCTAAAATTTAAATAAATGTTCTTCTCTCTGTTTGCATACATGCACCTGCCCTTTTGTTTGTGCATCCATACCTATATATCCCATTCAGAATCACCACTGAACAAGTCCCATCTTCTGGCAGCCTGCTCTGGACTGGCTCTCTGGATGCTTTTAGAAGCTCCTTCTTAGAACAATACCACAAATTCATGGAATACACCCCCACAAACACTGTATTTAGTTAGAATTGAGAGGGTGGTACAGGACACTCCGAACACACTGCTGGATTTGTCAGTAACCTACTTTTAAGCATGGTATGTGCCAGTGGATAGCTCTGGAAAAGGGCATTGATGCACCTTCCCGGAGTTTCCACTGCAAAAGTTTGTGTACCTTGTGCACTACACTACACAGTGAGAACGGGAAGTGTAGACAAGAGAGTTGTTCTTGGATTGTAATCAGCTCAGTAGAGAGGTTCCAGCTGCATCTTTCCTCCACTGCCAGAAGACTGAGAAAGACAGACCAGTCACTTACATGGCTTTTGAAAACATCTCCTGGAAAATACTGGAAAGCATTAATGATGCTGAGCAACAAATGACTTAATAGCAACTGTCTTAAACCGTCATGCTAGTACGTTCATCTTAATGCTGTGTTGCAGCTCTGCTTGTTTCAGACTAATGTTTTGACACGATTGATAGATAAGGAGTTATGCTCAGTTGTTATGCTACTGTTAGGGTGTCAATGTTTGGTTTTTCTCAGTACACAACAAGGCCCAGCTGCCTTTCTGTGACTGAGGCCATCATGCTACATGTTGGTGACAGTGAATGGGGTTGTAAAGGATCTTTGGGCTGGCTTGTGTAAGTTGTACTGCAACTCATAATGTGGTTAGAGTTTGGCAGACAATGTAGGGACAATACCGGGGAATTGTGCTTGAGACGGACTATGAATTTGTTAGGGTTAGATTCTATGTATTGACATGAACAGATGGTGCTTTGCAGCTCATCTAACTGTCTGGCTCCCATTTTTTGATATGTGGTGCTAAAGCTCAGCCTAAAGTACTTTCATAATAGGTGGCACTAGGCTCTTTCTGAACCCCACTGAATAACAAGAGCTGACAGGCAGTCCCTTGTTCTGAATTGCTGTCTCACAGTAAAGCCAACTACTTCTGAAATTTCACCCACCTGCTTTATTTCACTAAATCTCTACACATTTTCTATCCAAAAATGCGATCTGAGAAAGGTATAATGATCTATTATACCATCACTTTTACGTCCTGTTGCTTTTTTAGAAATTCCAATTCATTTTGCATGATTTCTCCTTGAAGTAGTTTCCAAGTTACATTAAAATGACTGAATTATCATGAAGGCTCACTGAGGCATTTATAGTTTTGACTCTTTTTTGACTACAGTTTCTCTAAAAGGCAAGTCTTTTGTCTTTTCATGAAGAAATGTACTTATTTTTTTTCTTTTTTTCCTCCCCACTGCTTTCTGATACTTATGTCTGTGGAGATTCTGCCAAATACAAAGAGTTGACGATTGGTATGAATTACGAAAGTGGAAGAAGTATACAAAATAAGAAATCTGAAACAGTGATGTTATGTAAAAACCCTTCTGTTTCCTGCAAGCACTAAATACTACATTTCCCATGTTAAAAGTTACAAATAATAGGGATTTTACTCGGGAAAAGTTAGGTTTGCAGCTTTTCTTTTGAAAGTCTGTCGTCTTCTTGTGTGATAGGAAAAGGGGCAACAGTGATATCTAATAACAAAATAATTGTTACTGTTCTCTGCTCAGTCCTGCAGACTTTTATCTCTACTGCTTCTGACTCCGAATATTGGTATACAGTCATACCAGTACAAAAGTAACAAAATGCATGAAAACAACTATTAATTACTTCAGTATATGGACACTTTTTTCAGGAAAAGCTGTTCAAATATCCTGAAGAAAAGCAGTTTGTTATGTACCTATATGTCTCTTGTAGTTCAGCTTAGACTGGGGTATTTCTAAACCACCATCAAGTCATACATTGTCAAGTCAGTAACAGAACTTTCGTTAGGATGAGCGAAGAGTACTAGACTGTCTTTTTGTTTTGTTTCTGAAGCTCAGCGAAGAGGAGTATTAAAAATATCTATATGGGAAAAGCTCATTCCCATACAGGAGGCAAAAGTAAAATATACTTTTGGCTGTGTTTATAATTTTGTAAGTGTGTGCCTCTTAGGGAGGTGATATAATACTAACAGATAGGACTTGCTTAGTGAATGATGACATCCTCAGAGCAACGCTAGTTCTGCTGATAAAGAAGCAAACTGCCATTTGCAGTCCTAAAATTGAGATGCTTCTGTGCTAAGGCATTGCAGTTAATAACAGTAGCTTAGGTCACCCTTTTAAAAAGCTGGATTTGTGCAGTCCCAGGCTTCATGGTCTGTTATAGCCTACATGATGCAGAAGATGTGAGCAAAGGAGGAATCTTGAACTAAAATAAAAACAAAAAGCCCTACCTCCCCCAAATATGCAAGATTAACAGAAAAGTCTAGGTAGATGAAATGAGGTCGAGATTATACTTGATGTTAAATAGTTATACACAAACTTCTGGTATTTTTGCAAGTGAGTAATCCAGAGAGGGGTCAGAAATGGTAACGGAGGAAGCTGTTTGACCATTTTATTATTGAGGAACTCAACCTTCCTTTGAAAAGCAGAGGTCACTCGCTTTCCTACCATTTCCTAGAATAGCCAGCAGAACCCTAAATAGGCTGAGAGTCTTTGTGGTTTGCAGAGGATGTTAAGTCTTTATGCGCAGTGCCACAAGCCTGACTTATTTCTCAGCTGTTTTGCTTCTTGGCAGTACAGTCGCGTTGCCAGTGCTAATCCCAGTCCTAAAATCGCGTTGTTTACAATGGATTTCCTGAAGTGTTGAGGGCAATGGAACAGCTCTAGATGAAATTCTTGAGTTTTGGGATGAACATCTAGCTTAGAGTTTAGTGTTGTATTTGCAGGGGAAGGAGGACTGCAACAGCGTGGCTGCCAGGCCTGTGGGATGGATGGATGGGTGGATAGATGTGGTTTTGAATGTTGGGAACAAGTTGGTTAAGTGTTCTTTCACAGCAAGAGCTATCAGGGGCATGACACTAAACTGCAGACACCATGTGCTTTTCCGTGTCTGATTCTACGTTTTACCACAGGTTGCATGTTCAAAAGCCTTCAGTACTGACTTGTTTCTGCTCTTATTAAAGATCGTATTAAAAATCTGTCTGACTTAAATGAAAACAGTCAAGCTCTTAGGAGTGCTGCAGATCGCACACAGGCCATCGCCCTGGGTGAGATTTTTGGATGTCCAGCAGGTGGAGCAGCAGTCCCACTGGTTAGGGGCTGGGGACCACAGTCGTGCTCTGCCTCTGCAAGTGTTACCTTCTGCAGGACAGTCACGTACTGCATTTCTTTTGCTCTTGTATTCTTCTGATCCTGTGTTGTGTTAGACAAAAGTCTTAAGTTCAGTGGAGAGGAAACCGCTGCATGAGCTGTAGTGGTACAGCGAAGTGTTGTCGATGTTTTGTGTACTATTGCAGAGCATGGTGTGCTTCCCAGAAAAAGTAGAAAAGCTTGTAATAGAAGTGCAGAAGATAAGTGAGTTGTTTCTTGTTTTATTGTTTTTTGTGGTGGTGTTTTTTTTAGCTGAACAGATCACAGCAGGAACGTTCAATAATACTTATTACATATGAAAAAAGGCAGAAGGTGATGGCATGCCCAATGTCCTGTCACCCAACGGTAGACCCGTCACAGTGTGTGTTTATGTGACAGTCTCTAAGATACAGGCCATATTGAGGAATTCCTACTTCCAGTTCCACTCCCTTCTCTCACATAAATGTGGTAATGCAAATTTGACTTGTGATGCTGAGCTGTGCAGTGTCGGAGGAAGAGTGTCCAGCTGTGCCCATTTTTTTCCTAAGACTGTTAGCAAGGTACAATGAAGCTAGTCCTGTGTATGATTTAGTCTGTATGGCCACAGTAGGTCACTTGCTCGGTCTGACTAAGATGGTGTCACCATCTGTCCTTTCAGTGACAATAAAGTTGGAAAGTTTCTACGGGGCAGACTGGAAGCATCTGGCTCAAAAAACAAAACAAAACAAAACACCACACACCAAAAAAAAAAACCCCACCAAAAACCCACAAAAAAAAACCCCAAAACTGTTATTAAAAAATTTGGGTTGCAGAGTTATCTAAGGTGGCACAGATTAACAAACACATTAAAGGTTACAATATTTATTGTAATGCTGTTGTGAATATTTAATTCTGTAAGCAGATCATGTTTCTTGCACAATGGTGGGTTTTTTTGCACCACGTTAGTGGTTGGGGCAGAATGAAGCTTCTCATCCCTTCCTGTTCCTGGTGAGTCTCTTGTGCCTCCTGCATTCTGGAAGAGCTAACTCTTTTGATCTTCTGCAGCAGCAGTTGAAAGTGTGTTCACAACTGATCTTGGTAGGAGGGGCTGGTGCACATGCAATCCCAAAGCAAGTGGATGAAAGAGAAGTTCCTTCCAGATCGGAACTACTATAGCCCAAAACTTTATATTAACTTTCACCAAGCATGTTATGATGAACCTACCTCTTCCCCTAAACTTTTAAGTCCATAAAGATGTTCACTAAGATTGTAAAAAATCGTCCTCTTCATTTGTAGTATAAGGACCTTTTCCAAACCTAAAGTTGAGAGGCTCTGTGCTTTCACAAAGTAATTACAGATTTATTTTTTTCTGATGAGCATGATGATGCATCCCACCAAAATTTTGTCGTTTAGAACTAGATGCTTTAGCTTTGCTGAAACTTGTAATCAACTTGATGCAGATACCAGCATGGAAAACTTAAGCCTGAACTGAAATTTGACAGCTTGAAACTTGAGTATTTAAGTGGAAAATGTGAGGCAATCATTAACTAGGGATAATGCTGCCATGAAAGCAGACATATTTGCGAGGAGGAACACAAGGTTTCATTGATTAAGAACAAAATCCTGTGCTGTTAATGTTAATGAGAAAAGTCCTGTCAACTATCAGGGTGGCATTTTGATACGTTTTACATAACAAATATTCACAGTAGTTTGTAAAAAAACACTACTGGAGATCAGAAAAGCCAAAGTATTTGGCTTGTTCTTGTGGAGATCAAAGTATGGAGGTATAAGAGGGTATGGCTGATGATTTGTTGTTAAAGCCGTTTCCCGATAATCATTTGTATATCCTACTGTGCAGAGGATTGACTTGCATTTCCTAATGGAAGACAGTATGGAGTAGTTTTCACACAGCCATGCTACATTGTTCACATTAGGTAAGTCTTTGCTTATGATGCTCTAGCAAGGGCCTGGCATTTTTCAGTGTTATCTTGAGCAGCTAATAAGATACAACCTTAAATGAAGTGAGCAATGTCTCCATCACTGATTCCTTCTCAGGCTACCTAGCTAAGAGGATCATTAGGCAGAGTTCAGAGAAACTTGGAAATTTCTGGTCTAGTTGTCATGTCTTATCAAATTTAGATTATATTAGAAGAAGGGAAGCCTTTTGAAATAAAAGCTTTCCGATGATGTACTGTCATTTAATCACCAAATAAACACCAGTTCTATAAATTTTTGTGTGTTCTGATAAATAAAATTTGAAATTTTATAGAAGCAGCTGAACGCTTTTGGCACCCTGTCTATTCTACATTAGTGTACACTGTCAGGGAGTATTCTTGGGGTGCTGCCATTTGTTTGCTGATCAGTGTTAGTGTGGTCCTAAGTGTGGCCGTTGGTCTATGCCATCGGGCACTCTCAGTGAATTCCTGTGCGGTTCAGTGATAACATGTGCCAGGGGTGATTCCTAGAGAGCAGGTTTGATGGAGCCACCATGCTTTGGAGGACTTGTCTTCAGTGCTAAGGAATGGCCTTTGTGCTTTATTTATATACCAGGGCATATGTAGTTTCTGTGTAAAGCTTGGCTTGTTTTAGGATCAGACAACGAGTCCTGGAGATAAATTGAATGTACTGCATAGATTTGTTTCTGTAGTCTTTTGCTTTCAGATACATTCTTTTTGGTGCAATATACTTGTATAAAGATGGATGCTGGAGGATAGTTCAGTTGTTTTTCTACTTCTACTCTCATTTCTTCATGAGAGATTTTCTGTGATTTGTTCAGAGCAATAATGAGTTTTTGAGGCAGGTAGTACACACTGGCAATGAGGGTTATCTTTTACACTAGCATGCACTTAGTTATCTAGTATTATTTTTTTCTATGGAATATCTGTGGTTTCTTTTTATTAGTAAAACCCTTTACATCTTTTCCTGCACAACAGATGAAACCTGGGTGGGAAATTCCAATTGCTTTTGGGTCCGTTGTATACCTAGTTTGTGAGACAAAAGACATATAGGTTTGAAGGATGATCAAAGATGGCCTGTATCTGTACAAAGACCCAGAGCCCATCCTTTAGGGTGGAAGACAGAGTGCAAATTGTTCTCCTCACATAATTGGCATCTGGGCTAATACTAGTTTTGTTTCTGCTATTTTCAGAGTTCGTATTCTTGGTGTGTTCTGTAGCTGACTATGCTCCCTGTCACCCATGGCGCCCAAATATATATATTGCATACCCATGGAGGCCTCAGTAAGCCTGGGAATAAGTAATTGACTTGCCTTCTATCTGGTGGGAGCTTCCTTCTATGTTTCTGTCTCAGGTTTTCTCACTTTTTTTCAAGTCATACAAGAGGGGGAATGCCACAGCCTAGGGGCCACAGGAGGGTGGTGATACCGTCTTCTCAACCATAGTGTATGATGGGTTGCTGCTGTGAAACACTTACACAATTGTGTGCTACTCGTGACAGATTTTTAACCAATGTGCATGATTGAAGAAGACTTAAGCTACTGTGCCCCAGAATAAGCATTCAGTATGCTAGTACATGACTATCGCAATTAATTAGATATTGCACCTGAAATGGAGGTAAATTCCATTAAAATAACGCATTGTTCTGAATCCAGAATCAGGCAAGATAATAAGACCAAATTTAGTTTCCCATTGGTCAAACTAGTTAAGAAAGTTATCTCAGAGAACATGTGGTAAAAGCAAACTTAAACTGCTGAAGTATAAAGGAAGAAAATCACTCCAAAATTATTTGAATTGAAATACCATCATTGAAGGTAATCTGTGAAGTACAAGTCTGATCTGATGTCTAGAAACTCACTTTTATACTTTCCATTAGGTATTATTTATAAAATTGTTATTTGATCATTAATCTGCCCTTTCGATGTTACCCATATTTGTCTGAACTTAATATTTAAATCCAGTCTGGACATTACCTGAAATTCAAAAGTATTCACGACTCAACATTATCAAACCTTTTCATCAAAATGATTGACAGGTTGCGTCATTACTTATAAATTTTTAAACATTAATTCACAATTTATTTTTTCTTCTCCCTTTCATTTTTCAGGTTGGAGATGAGATAGTTCGTATAAATGGATACTCCATTTCATCATGCACACATGAAGAAGTCATAAACCTCATTCGTACAAAGAAAATAGTGTCCATAAAAGTAAGACGTAAGTAACAAAAAAAAAAAAAAAAATCACCTCTATCACTGAAGATCGCTGTTAAGAGATTGCTAGTGGTCTGTAGAAAGTGCAACTTAACAGAGTATTTTTCTTTTTCAGATATTGGCATGATACCTGTCAAAAGGTAATGGTGTTTAATTTGAAACAAAATTAGATAATTCATTTTCACATAGCCTCTTCAATATCCAAAGAATCTCTGTGTTTATCTGCATATTTGAAGATGTGTGAACGAGCATCTCTGTAGCTGATTAAAATGTCGTGTCCTTTGTGATAAACAGGCAGCTGTCTTGTTTGATGAATCTGGCTTCTTATACCAATTGCCTGCTTAATTGAACCAATTTCTGTTTCCTCATTACTCACGGATATTACCTGGAAATTTTATTATCAATGCGCCTAGCTTAAGAGAGCTCCACTGCTTCTCTGTGTATGTAACATTTAAGGATTGCTTCAGAGCTTAGGTAATTTTTGAATTGTTGTCCTCTTCAAATTTTTGTTGAAAAGTTGAAGCTTTAAGTGGTATGTTTGAGAAATGTAATGACTGTAGGCATGTCTCTGCATAGATATTTATATAAGCTGTTCAAGTTGTTACAATTTTTTTCAGTCTTTCTTAATTTCCCAAAATTTTTTCACTTGAAGTTTTCTCAATTTTATGTTTGACCAGCTTTACTAGCCTAAATAATTTTATGCTTTTTTGATGTTCTATTTAAATTGCTGGAAAATAAACCAGTTGTTGTGAATGATATCCAAAGGAACATGTGGATGCAAAATAAGAGGCTACATGCCAAAGTAGCTTCTTGAATACATTCACGTTTATTTTGTCCCCATTATTTTAAATTACTTTTTCCTTCCAGTTCAGCAGATGAACCCCTTAAATGGCAATATGTGGACCAGTTTGTGTCAGAATCTGGGGTAAGAGATCAATATTTTATTAAGATGCCTTCTGGGAAATCTGTAATGGTTCTGAAACACCTTCTTCTCTGACTTTATCACTGCAGTTATTGTATGTGTTTCCATGATGCAATATCTTGTTACAAATGTTCTGGGAGAAGCATCTTTTGTGATATGAAATGATTCTAGAATCATTAGATAAGGAAAGGGCAGGATACAAATGAAATACCTTTTACTCATTAATGAGTACTTCATTTTGCTTGAGGTGATTAACTCTCCAGGCTATAGTTCTACTGTCTAAATCTTTAACAGATTATGTGGCCTATCTTAGCTATATTAATGGAAGAATGACAGGTATGAATGGAAGTGACTTCTATGGGTTGCAGCAATGAAAAGAGAGACCACAATTACCATTCTTTTGCTTTCAGGAAGACTTAGTTAAATAGCGAGCACTATCATGCATTTTTCCAGCTCTTTTGTCAGGGAACATCTAAATGATTATTTTGCCATATCACTTTTCGCTAATTTTCCTTCGCCCTTTTCTGGAGACAAAGTCTGTCTATTTAAACAGTCTTCTCCAAATAGAAAGATAAGTTCAGTCTTTCATCTCAGCAATGCAGCTTCACTGAAATGACTTACTTCAAATTGATCTCGAGTAGGACCTTGGAGGAATCTTATCTTGATATTGGCAGGGTTTGATCCTGGCTTCATGAAGTTTTATAGTAGTCTTGTTACTCCGAGTTGAAGTCATGTCATCTGCAGCATTTTTTAATCCCCCTACAGGAAGGGAAAGGCAGTGTTGCTGGTCTTGCTTCTTCTGGAGGAAGGGACAATAAAGAGAAGAAAGTCTTCATTAGTTTGATTGGTACAAAAGGCATGGGATGCAGGTGGGTACCTGTTTCTTGTTTAACGTCGCTGGTTTAAGAGAGACATGCAAGGCAGTTATTTCCATTCTTCACTGATATGATATCAGAAAAATGGAGATCCATGCTGGATCAGGAAGGCAAACTGGAAAAGGAGGATATCTGTGGCATGCATTATGTATCATCAGATAAAGCATGAATACCTGTTATACAAGTTCTGAATTAAATTTAAGTGTGTTTTTTTTATTTTAAAAATAAGAGCAGGCTGAAAGTGACATAGAATCATAGAATCGTTAGGGCT